AGTTGTCATTGTTGTTTGGAAGGCCCAGGGTGGATTTGAACCCGCCAGCTCTGGTGTATGTGGCTGGTGTCTTAGCCACTTGAGCTACAGGCACCGAGCCAATTGTAGTTATTTTTATTTTTGTGAATCTAGAACATTTTATGTTATAAACATAAAGATAATAAATAGGAAGGTTTGAAGGAGATGGTATCTATGTGTTTTTTATCTTATCATGTGAATCTGTGATAAGTTGACCTGCAATCAATAGGATAAGAAATAAGGCTTAGGGGCAGCGCCTGTGGCTCAATGAGTAGGGCACCAGCTCCAGCCAAACTGCAACAAAAAATAGTTGGGCGTTGTGGCAGGCACCTATAGTCCCAGCTACTCGGGTGGTTGAGGCAAGAGCATCGCCTAAGCCCAAGAGCTAGAGGTTGCTGTGAGCTGTGACACCATAGCACTCTACTGGGGGTGATAAAGTGAGAGGAAAAAAATACGGTTTAGAAAAATTAAATTTAATGTTACCCACTACAGTTTGAGGTTCAACTAGAGGTCTGCTTGTTTGGTGAAAAAAAAAAAAAAAAAAACTTGTCAAGATTTATCAGGGAACAACCAAGGGGGCGTGTGTGTGGAGGAACAACATCAGAAGTATGGAAATGAACACGGCAGATAAAGAAAACAGCGAACTGAGAGGAAGCAAGAACAGGGTCTCACAGAGTTTTAAAGACTACGGGGGGAGTGTTCTAAGGCGGGAATATTGATTTTCAATGTGGAATGGAGATCAAGTATCATGAGGAGTGAGGGAAGGGAGAGAGAAGCAGAACATGAAGAAAAATGAAAGAACAAAAGTGGTCACTAAAGAATAGTAAAGTAGGGTGGCCCCCCAAGGCTGGAGGCGCCACTCAGCCCTGGCCTGCTGCTAAAACAACAGTGACAACTGCACCACCACCAACAAAAAAATAGCTGGGTGTTGTGGTGGGCGCCTGTAGTCCCAGCTACTTGGGAGCCTGAAGCAAGAGATCACGTAAGCCCAAGGGTTTGAGGTTGCTGTGAGCTGTGAAGCCCCAGCACTCTACTGAGGGTGACATAATGAGACTTTGTCTCAAAAAAAAAAAACAAAAACAAAAACAAAAAGAATAGTAAGATGAAAGAGAAAGCTAGCAAAGATGATTTGCCCCCAGACTTCAATCTATCATCACTATTTGCAAAATTCCCCTGCCAAATCCAGCAATTACCTTAAATCCCTGTCTTTTGTTAAAACTTGTTGAAATTCTCTCTTTCCTTAAAGTTCTGGTTCTCCTCCTGCTTCTCTGATATTTTCTTTGCAGTGGACTTTGCATCATCACATTCATGCCATGATTGAAATGCAATGCTGTCCTTCCTTATATACTCAACTCTCGATCCTGCAGCCTTTCCTGAATAATCTTATTCCTGCCATAATTTCAACCACCATCTGCATGCTGATGTCTTTCAGATGGGTTATTTCTGGCCACAGACTCTCCTTATGCATTTTCTGTAATTGGTTGGTGATATCCCAGTCCCCTAATCTCTCCAAGTGGAACACTTAGGCATCATTCTCAGCCTCCTCCTTCTTTCTTAACTTGGATCCAGCATTCGTTATCAAATCTTGCTCCATTCTAACTCCCAAGTAACTTTCCTGTCACTGTATCTCTCGGTCCTTATTGCTACGGCCTCAGATTGGAGCCCCTGCCTTAGACTATTGCAGAGTTCTTTGTTTAGTTGCTTTGACTTTCAGATTAGCTCGCTCCAAATTAAATGAAAACTTCTTTAAGAATATTCTTTCTAAGCTGGGTGTAGTAGGTCCTACCTAAAATCACAGCACTTTGGGAGGCCATGGTGGGAGGATTGCTCGAGACTAGCCTGAGCAACATTGTAAGATCCTGTCCTTGCAAAAAATAAAAAATCAGTCAGTGTGGGAGTGTGTGCCTATGGTCCCAGCTACTCAGGTGGCTAAGGGAGGAAAATCTTTTGAGCCTAGGAGTTAGAAGTTAAACTGCATTGTAATATACGAGTAGACTCTAACCTGGGTAACAGAGCAAGACTCTGTCTCTACCCTAAAAAAAGAATATTCTTTCTGAAATTCATATGTTCTGATTTTGTGCTTCCCTTACGACTTCCATGAAACGTTCCCCTGTTACCTGTTACTTAAAGCTTCAGCTCTTAGCATGGCACTTGATATCTAACCTCTGCCTACCTTTTCAGCTTTTCTTTATTTAACAAATTCTTGGCATGTGAGCAAATATGGAAATCAAATCAAAGTATGGATTCACACAAATAGAAGAGGATGCAGTTGGGGATTTAGTTACAAATCTAAACACGATGTTCAAGACAGCTAAGTATTTGCTTTGTTCTCAGGTCGTAGATAAGTACACATTGATAATGAAAGTACAAGATATGGACGGTCAATTTTTTGGATTGATGAGTACATCAACTTGTGTCATAACAGTGAAAGATTCAAACGATAATGCACCCACTTTCAGACAAAATGCTGTGAGTATCTAGTCATAAAATCTATCTCTGCTCTATTTCTTGTCATTTGTTTTTTAATCTGAGTTAATAAAATATTTACCATTCTCTAGAATATTTATGTTTTATGAGTAAAATTAAAGTTTAAGTAGATGATATGCAAATCTATTTGATTTACTTTTATTAGTACTTGTTATTAGCTCTCTTTACTTTTATTCGTGCTTGTTTATTAGCTCTCTGTTGTTAAAGGCCAGTAACGGGAGAGACTTTATTTGCAGGGAAGTTCTTCTTTTATTTAAAAGAAAACCCTTAATGAAACAATTGTATTTGTGATTCATGGTTTTGAAATAATCTGTATAAAATAATGAGGATAAGTGCTTTTGGAACGGAAGAAACATTTCACGTTCTTTGACAAAGTTCTCATTATAAAGTAAAATTTCAATGAGCTTTTTCTGTTTCAGTACGAAGCCACTGTGGAGGAAAATGCCGTCAATGTGGAAATCTTACGAATCCCGATAGAAGATAAGGATTTAATTAACACCGCCAATTGGAGAGCCAATTTCACCATCTTAAAGGGAGATGAACAAGGACATTTCAAAATCAGTACAGATAAAGAAACTAATGAAGGAGTTCTGTGTGTTGTGAAGGTACAGTAATAGTGAATAATTGACAACTTGGCGAGGTAACAGGATTCATTCAATTAAGGGTTTCATCAACTGAATAGTTTCAAAGCATAGACTTTGTAAATTGGAAGATACTTTAAAATCTATGGAGTCCACTGTATCTAATGCCTGTGTGTCTATTGTACTTTTATTGCCAGTTACTAGTCGCGCAGCCTGTACTTGAACATTCCCTATTACAAGGATCTCCATGTTCTCTTATTCCATATCTAGAGAGCTCTGATTCTCAGAAGTTCTTACTTCTACTGTGCCCAAGTTATTCTCCTTATAGCCTGTGTTCAGTTCTGATTCTTCCTCTAGTGCTATACAGAGCAGGTGTAGCTCTTTTGAAAAGGCTGTTACGTCCACTTGAGACTTACCTACCTTCTCTAGGATTAATATTCTCCATTCCTTTAACCAGTATAATTAATTAATAATAATTAATTAATAATTAAATTAATTAATATAATAAATAATTAACACGGTATAATTTAGAAGCCCGTATTCTTCTTATTCTCTCTGCAACACATATCCTGGTTGGATCTGATCCTTTTAGAGGTGATTATGAGGTTAAAATATAGTATTTTATGAGAGGGCAGTGAATGTATTTATTCTTTGTTCTGTATGTTGTGTACGTGTATTTGATTGTGTCATTACATCCTGGGTGCAGGTTATGAAGGCAGGACGGACGCTATTTGAGAAGGATCCTTGGTTTTAATCTTCTAGCTGAGAAGGAAAAAAAAAAGACATTGTCCTTTGAACAAGAAAAGGGTCATTTACTTAGTTTTTACCTGCCAGTGATAATATGGTGACATCTTTGGTACATCAACATCTCTATTTGTAGTTATTTCCTTGGTAAGACTTTCCAGGTATTATATACCAAGACTTGAAGAGTCCTGTCCAGATGGGAATGACCAACTCTCAGAATGCTCTCTATTTCATTTTTCTATACCATAGTCTGTTCAAATGGAAGACTAGAAACCAGAAACTTAAGGAAAAAACCACTAAGCTTTTATTGAAATTAAGCTATAATTGAAATTAATAGGAAAGGAAACAAGGAAACAGTACTCATTATTTTTTCTTTTATTAGTTGAATTTGATAGTCTTCACTGGACTCCCCAGAAAGCAAAGCAAAGATCTCAGTATAGATAGATATTTAGGACATGGATCCCAGGAGGCCAGAGTGAAAATGGGGAGTTAAGACAGGGAAGGATGAGGTGCAATCAAATTTGCATTATTGAGCTGGTCATCTCTGGTGTTGAACCATTGCAGGAGCCATGTATATCTTACCTCAGAATTATCTCCTCAAAGTAGTACCTGGGACATTACCCATCAACCTCATTCTCAGTGCCCACCCTTGCTTGAGAGTTACCCCTATGGAGTCTTAATTTCTGGGCTAGACTGTGCCTGCCATTGTCTGAGGAAGCTCCTTGAATCCGAAGAGCCAAATCTTTGGGTGGTTGAGATGTGACTCTCAGCATAAATGGGAATGGGCTGAGGGGCTGGAGTGTATACTTGTTTTGAAAGGGCTGCTGTGCATCTAATAGAGTTTCCGTGGTTAGACACTTATGTAGTACAGGCAGTGACCTCAAAATTGATATGTTTGCAGCAGATGTTTTGTTAAAAATTTCTCCTGGACATCCTTCTTCCTTTCTCTTCCTTCCACACCTTGGATTCATCTACAAATAAGTCAGAGGAGTAGTTTCAGATCTGGCATGGATAGATTATGCTGATCATAGTAACTCAAGTCAGAGGCCCACGCTCAGACCTTGTGGCATGCTGTCTAGACTCCTTGGCCAGAAGGCTCTGCTCTTCAGGCCTCTCTTGTTCACGGCCATCACCTAAGACCCAATGGAAAAACTCTGAATGCATCTCAGAGTGCCTTTGGTAGCCTTACTGGTATTGGAAAGGATTTGTTTCCTGGAAAAAGAGTTGTGATTGTATAGTTAAGTTGTAACTCCAGGTACTTTCTAGACTCAATGAGTCATCTTTTTATTTTAAAATCAAACACTGTATAGTTAGGGCGTTTGAAATCCCAACTTTTCACGCACTGGTTAAAGTAAAGAATGACATTGCTATATTAGTAACTCTAAAGGAATCCTTTCTTACAATGCCCTGGTTGTTTTTTCTGGTTAGTCAGAATTGTTGAGGAGAGGTGTGCATGTTAATTCCTTCCTTGATAGTGGGCTGAACTAAGACTTGGTCAGGTGTACTTGTAGCCAAACAAAGCTTGCAAACATTGCCTTATCAGTTAGTGTTTCTTATTATTGGTTAATATTTGCTGTTAATAAAAAATACATCACCTGTTCCTTTCATTAGCCTGTGTGACAACTTAAGCAATTACTAATAACTGTAGCATAAAGTACTTACTCTGTCATTCTTACAACAGTTTTACAAAAGAGAAATCTCAATCTCAAAAAAATTTAAGAAACTTTCCCAAAGTCACACAGCTAGGATGCAGTATAGACAGAATTTGATCCTAGATGTCTTTTATTTATTTTTAATTTTTAAATTATTATTATTTTTATTATTATTATGTTGAGGTAGAGTCTCTGTTGCTGTGGTGTCAAAGCTCATAGAAACATCCAACTCCTGGGCTCAAGCGATCCTCCTGCCTCAGCCTCTCGAGTAGCTGTGACTACAGGAGCCTGCCACAATGCCCAGCTAGTTTTTTTCTTTTTTTTTTCTGTTTTCAGTAGAGACAGGGTCTTGCTCTTACTCAGGGTGATCTTGACTCCTAACCATAAGCAATCTTCCTGCCTCAGCCTGCCAGGGGGCTAGGATTACCAGTGTGAGTCATCATGCTCAGTCTCTTTGATTCCAAGTATGTGCTCTTAAGCCTTGTGTTAAGTTGTTTTCCAATGCTGTGTGGTCTTGGAAAGTTAGCTTCTGTATTAATCATAAGATGGAAATAAAACTTCTGCTTCCTTAATATTTATTCAAATATAATAATGAAAGTAAAAGTAGTGGGTAAACTATAGGATGTTTATTACACACCATAAAGCAAGTATACTATGTTCTTGCTATGTTAATAGTAATAACATAACTAATGATAACATACTTATGTTATTGTTTTACTTTACAAACTTATACTATGTTCTTCAGACTAGTGTTATAATTTTCCATACTAGGTAACTTTTCTGAATCCATAGAGTCTGAGCTGATGCAGTCTTTAGCTGAGTCCTGGGTCATCTTTTCATCTGTATGTTTGCTGTCTATTTTTGCAGCAGCAGTGGTGAGAGAGGATTGTATTATTCTCAGACATTCTCAATGTGGAGAGTCCTCAGTCCCATCTCCACAACTATGCATTTTCTAGGGAGTTATTAAAAAGCTCAATGCAGATTTGGGATATTTTTTGAACAATTTTTTTTTCAAGTGATAAAACAAAAACGGATCTGAAAGAAAATTCACACACTTTCATTAATCATTGTTTTTTTTCTTTCTTTCTTTTATTTTTTTTTTGGAGAAGGTTTCATTTTGTCATCCTCGGTAGAGGGCTGTGGCATCATAGCTCACAGCAAGCTCGAACTCCTGAGCTTAAGCAATTTTCTCACCTCAGCCCCCCAAGTAGCTTGGACTACAGGCACCTACCACAATGCCTGGCAATCTTTTTGTTGCAGTTGTCATTGTTGTTAGCAGGCCTGGGGGGGGTTCAAGCCCACCTGCCTCAATGTATGTGGCCAGCACCGTAACCATTGAGCTACAGGCAACAAGCCAGTAGTTTTGATTTCATTCAATGTTTAGCCAGTGGTTGTTTTTTTTAAAGGCTGCATAATATTTCATGGTATACATATACCACAATGTATTAATCCATTCATGGGTTGATGGGATGGGCACTTGGGCTTCTTCCATAACTTGGCTATTATGAATTGAGCTGCAATGAACAATCTGGTGCAAATACCTTTGTTGAAAAGTGATCTTTGGTCTTTTGGATATAGACCTAGTAAAGGAATTGCAGGATCAAATGGCAGGTCTACTTTTATTTTTATTTTTTTTTAAAGGTTTTATAGTTTATTTTTTTAAAGATGTTTTTTATTAAATCATAGCAGTGTACATTAATACTATCATGGGGTACAGTGTACTGTTTCTGTATACAATTTGAAATACTTTCATCCAACTGGTTAACATAGCCCTCATGTCTTTTTCTTAATTATTATGTTAAGACATTTATATTCTACATTTAGAGAGATTCACATGTACCCTTATAGGATGAACCATAGGCGTGGCTGTTTTAATAAACAGAAAGTGAATCAAACCAAAAATGCTTCCACTTTATAGTACACGGATAGCAGGCAATAGTGTTTTGTGAGTTTGCTTGATTGAACCCATCCTTGCACCTCGGTATAGCAGAGGGATTTCAACGTGCAGGTCAGGGAGACAGACTCAGGCCAGACTACCTGGCTGCACACTTGAGCTCAAATGAGTATATTTTGGCCGTAGGAAAAACCAGTTTATCTCCTTCTCTAGTTTCCTGCTCTCTAAAATGAGGATGATGATAATGCCATCGCATAACAGTGTGAGGATTCAATGAGTTTTATCCTCCCTAGAGCAGTGCTGTGTCATTAGTGACGGTTAAAATTACGCATTTTCTCCTTCTCTTACTCCTGACTGTATCTACCATGAAAGTTTCACTGCATAAACTACGGACAATGCCAAAGTAGAATTCTCAAGTTGTCAAAAGTACGATTTTCATAAAAATAGATAGTGAGCATGATTAAAAATTTTATTTAACTAATTCATGAAGGAAGCAGCAATAAGACAGAGCAGATTCCTAAGAAGAAATGAGACTCTGGATGGATTCTGATATAAGGAAAAGCTGACGTGAAATGGCTCAGTTGGCACCTTATACGGAAATTAAAATAGACATTTGGAGGACAGTTTCTATCAGATAGAAAATAAATTCACTGCACCTTTTCGGTTTTGTTAAAGTCATCATCTAACCTTACAAGGGTTTCTAAATGGCTGGTCCACAGCCAGTCGTCAGGCGATAGTGCTTTCCCCCAGCTGGGGAACCATCAGGCCAGCACCAGCCCATTGAAGCCACAAGAACCCTGTTATCTGTTTTTCTGTTCCTAGGCTCAGTATAATTTTCCTTAGTTAAGAGTCAAATAGAAAAATGTTTCAGGAGTGTCTTTTCCACCACTGTATGAAACCCCACCTGTAGACACATTTGGAGGACATTTGCTAAAGACTTAGCATAGCCTCAGCTCTCTTTCAGCAAGGGGAGGTTAATGTTAACAAAATGTGGACATAGAATTTATGCAGCAATGTTTATATTGACAGAAGTTCGCTTGCTGTTTGAAATGCCAAATGTATTTCACATTGATGCTGATGTCTGTGTACTTTATTTTTAAAGCCACTGAACTATGAAGAAAACCATCAAGTGAACCTGGAAATTGGAGTAAGCAATGAAGTTTCCCTGGCTAGAGAGGTATCCAGAGGGACAAGCACGAACAGAGCCTTGGTTACAGTTCACGTGAAGGATCTGGACGAGGGGCCTGAATGCAGCCCTCAGGTCCAATATGTACAGATCAAAGAAAACTTAGCCATGGGGTCAAACATCAACGGCTACAAGGCATATGACCCTGACACTAAAAGTAGCAATGGTTTAAGGTACAAAGACATCTACAAACACCTACTAACAATGTATTTGTAATAATTGAGCCAGTGACTTATTTTAAAACAAAGTATAATACTGGAGACTATTTTTATTTTTCATTAACAGGTACAAAATATTGCATGATCCTAATGGGTGGATTGCCGTTAATGAAATTTCAGGGTCAATCACAACTTCAAAAGTCCTGGACCGTGAGGCTACAACTCCCAAAAATGAGTTATATAATATCACAGTCCTGGCAATAGATCAAGGTAAAAAAAGAAAAAAGTTTTAATCTGGTATTTTATAAAGGAATTAATGAATTAAGAGCAATTATTCTTGTGCAGAATTATTATTGTGATATGTAGATGGAATTCTTTGAAATTACTTTAAAAATTCCGTTTCTATCTTTCTTAATTAATTAATAAGGCGAAACTGGGGACAATAAGCTATGTTTCATTTATCTTTATTTATGTGTAAATACCTCTGGCTAGAGGGCAAATCTGGAACTAAGTGAAATGGTGTCAGCAGACTCCTCCACCTCTGTTTGTGTCATATGTTAAACTGCACCTTTAAATAGTTCAGCTTGCTATTCGGTCAAAATGATCATTTTCTTGAATTTTTAAACTAAACTAGAATTTCTCAACCTGGGCTTCATATTAAATAAAACCATCAGAAGGCAGACGTTGCCTATAACTGAATCGGAATCTCTGGTTGTGGAATCTGGGCATCATAAATAGTATTTAAAAAGTCTTTCTAGGTGGTTTGAAGGTGTATTGGGATTAGAATAACTTTTCTGTAGCAACTTTAGTGCTCATTAACGTCTGCACCAGGCACCCAGAGAAATAAGACTAATAAATTCAGACATTTATTATTAGTAGTATTATTTATTTCAGGTTAACGTGAAGGTATAAGCAACCAGGTCAAAATATTTGAATTTGTCAGAGAGTCCCTTTTGTGGTTATGTCCTGCACTCAAAAGGTGTGCAACACCCTTGCACCAGCCCGTTCAGTGGGAGCACACCCGTCCCTCTCCCTCCTCCCTTCTTTCTTATTCCCCTCCCCCCAACTTGAAATGAGTTTTTTTCCTATGTGGCATGCATTCGATTGTCTATTGGCTTCATATTAGTATTGAATACATTGGATAATTGCTTTTCTAATCTTGTGATACTTTACTGCAAAGAATGGCTTTCAACCCCAACCAGGTTTGGATGTTGAAATGCCTTCTTAGGGCATTTTCTTAGTTATTGTGTTAAGACTTTTACATTCTACATTTGGAAAGATTCACATCATGTACCCTTGTAAGAGGGACCATAGGTGTGGTCCCACCGATCACCCTCCCTCCACCCATCCTCCCGCCCTTCCCCTTTCCCATATTCTTTTTTTTTTTTTTTTTTTTTGCATTTTTTGCCAGGGGTGGGTTTGAACCTGCCATCTCTGGCATATGGGGCTGACGCGCTACCTTTTTGAGCCATAGGCACCGCCCAAATAAATCCTTCCCCATATTCTTGGGTACAAATGGGCTATAGCTTTCAGATGAAGTTCTATTATGTCACTCTTGGTAGAGTGCCATGGTGTCACAGTTCACAGCAACCTCAAATTTGGGAGCTTAAGTGATTCTCTTGCCTCAGCCTCCCAAGTAGCTGGGACTACAGGCACCTGGCACAATACCTGGCTGTTTTTTGGTTGTTGTTGTTGCAGTTGTCAGTATTGCTTAGCTGGCCCAGGCTGGGTTCAAACCCACCAGCCTAGGTGTATATGATGGGTGTCGTAACCACTGTGCTACAGGCTTATTTTTATTTTTTGGTTGTAATTCTGGTGAAAGGTTGGCCATTGTATCTGATATTATGGATGGCAGTAATCATTTTAAATTATCTGATTTCATTTATCTATCTATGTCCTTATTTATTTACCATTTCCTCTAATAATCAAAGTTTATTAAAAACACATATCATATATGGAATAAATTGAATTTCCTTTAAGAACTATAAAACAATTTAAAGATAACACCAAACCTAATTCATTTCTTCTTAGATGGTAGATCATGTACTGGAACTCTTGCTGTGAACATTGAGGACGTGAACGATAATGCACCAGTAATACTCAATGATTATCTAACAATTTGCAAACCCAAGATGGGGTATATCGACATTTCAGCTGTCGATCCCGATGAACCTGTCCACGGAGCTCCATTTTCTTTCAGTTTGTCAACCCCTTCTCCAGAAATCAATAGAATATGGACACTCACCAAAGTTAATGGTATTTAATCAAAAATAATGATTTATGTACTCTGACATAACTGAGAATAACTCGAGAATGAATTCACTTGTTTACTAACACAAAGCATAAAGTAAAGTTGATTCTCATTGACATAGTTTAAAGGTTAAGTTAACCTTCTTACAAATATTTTGTGGGGTACCGTGTTATAGATCATATACAAAAGGAAGGAAATCGTGATTTTTACCAAGACAAAATTTACTTTTACAACAAAGCCCCCCAAAAGTTTTGTTAAAATATTGGGCAGTTCTAAACTGTTTTCTATTTTGTTGGTTCTGATTTTAAAGTAATACTAGTGAGTTGAGGAGAGACCAGAAGATGTGCAGGGCAACTGCACTGTAAGGAAGTGAGGAATCTGGGTGCATGGGGTGAATACTCCTTGTAGCTTCTGGAAGTGAACTTGGTGGGATTGGAAAGGGGTCTGGCCTTGGAGCTTCTGGGGACTGCCTCCTGCAATAGCAGTTTCTGGGGGATGTAGTATACTAGATTTCATCCATACTTCCCTCTTTGTTACTTTTGTCATGCTCTTTCATGCTACTGGACTTTTGTGAATACCGCCCCTTCTATGTAGGGGTATCTTTTTCTATGTAGAGTATCTTTTTCCCAACATTTTTAGCTTGATATTAATTCGTAGTATGTATGAGCACCTGTTATCTGTTGGGCACTGTTCCAGATCCTGAGGATTTATACAGAGGTGAACAAGACAACACAACCCCAGTGAAGTTGCTTGACCTCTGACGTTTGTCTTGACTTGGAAAGGTGGCACCTTGAGCTTTTACTACCTGTATTATAGCGTCTTTCAGGTCTTTTTTTTTTATAATCTGATTACCTCTGATACATGAATTTATCAGAACATTTGCAACCCACCTTTACATTTCCAGCACCTAGCCTAGTACCTAAAGATGTTAACTGCTTAGTAAAGGTTTGTTTAAGCAACAATTGACCAATAATGTGCATAAAAGAAGAAGAAATATATGAGGAGAATAAGCACATCAGCGTCATTAGAATTTTGAAGATTTTTGTAAGAATGCCAAGAATTTGGGTAGGAGGAAAGGTAGAATCTGGTGTTAAAAAACCTACCTGCCAGGCTGGGGAAACCGACCTTTGCATAGTAGGTGACAGTAGCTATGCATTGGGAATGTGCAAGCAAGGCAATGCCGTGCCCAGGTCTTTGTCTTTTAAAGGTGGCACTGGTGATAGGGTAATTTAAAGAGGGAAGAATTCAGTGAGACGAGATCAGAGCCTGATGCAGTACTGTGAATAAATATGACCCGACTGTGGGTCGGCTTGTGGTCTTAGGGCATTAGAGAGACCTGAAGGATCTTGCATTAGACATAATATGATCTTGAAGGGTCCTAAATAAACCGTTTCAGGGATGAGGTGCAGCCAAAATCTTTGAAGTTCTTACAGCTACCCCAGTGTAATTAATCAAGGCTTTGAAATTCCAGATGACTTCCTAGATATACCTTATGCTACTTTGCCATCTTGGTTAGTCTATTATAAAAACTTGAGGAAGTTGTAATTGCCATTAAAAGTATGTGGAACCTTTGGCCAGTTGATAAGAAGATTGTTAAAATAAGATTTCAAGACTAGTGGGGGAAATCGACTGTCACAGTTGACAAAAATGAATTGTTATAATATAGAAGTACCTGCTTTTTTAAATATAAGTCTTATGACTAGCCTGAGTGCCATGAATTAGCTTTCTAATATTGAGATTATTTCCAAATGCAAGGCATTAATCACAAAGAATCTCTTGTGTTTTAAAACATTATCTTATGCAAAAGAGTAATGGACAGATACCAGATGGTCAATGGCTAAGAAAATCTGGACTTCAGACACCCTTTTTGTGCAGCTGAAGGTGTCAATTCTTTATAATTATGTAAACTAGTACTAAAGAAAAATTCTTTAACTGTATGCTAAGAGGCAACCTAACATTATTAGTTTAATAGATTAGTTTATAGATTAAACTAATAGATTAGTTTAATAGATTAGTTTATAGATTAGTAATAGATTAGTTAATAGACTAAAAAATATTAAACATTGCCAGAATACTGCTGGATTATTCCAATGCCAAGAGTTATAAGAGGCAATGCATACAAGGTAGTATTAGTCCTTGAAAAGGTTGAAGATAGTCCTCCATTTCAGTTTATTTTCTTGTGACAGGTAGTTACTTGAGAAAGGTGCAGTGTTGTGACATAGATGCTAAGGGAGGAATAAATGATCATTAAAAAATAAAATTTTTGTAAACATAAAAGAGGTAAAGTCTTCATTTTCTTTTAATGCTGAATAGTATTCCATGGTATACATATACCACACAATTACTCACACTTGCATATGAAAAATGAAACACAACTATAACCTAGGATGAAGGAAGGAAGGAGAGGGAGAAAGGAGGGAAAGGGAGGGGAGCGGGTCGATAGAGGGAGGGTTATTAGGGGGACCACACCTATGGAGCATATTGCAAGTACAAATTGTATCTACCAGGTATAGAACACAAATGTCTTAATCCCGTAATTGGGTAAATGAGGTGAAGGCTATGTTGATTAGTAGGATATAAGCACTCCAACTTGTACAAATAATCAACACATTGAATCCCATAATGGCATAAATGTATTTATTATCTATGTACAAATGACTTAATAAAAATAAAATAAAATAAAATAGTTCAATTTTCTTTCAGATACAGCTGCCCGTCTTTCATATCAGAAAAATGCTGACTATCAAGAATATACTATTCCTGTTACTGTAAAAGACAGAGCAGGTCAATCTGCAACGAAACTCCTGCGGGTTAATCTGTGTGATTGTACTCACCCAGCTCAGTGTCGCTCGGCTTCAAGGAGTGCAGGAATAACACTCGGAAAGTGGGCAATCCTTGCCATATTACTGGGCATAGCACTGCTATTCTGTAAGTACTTTCACTTATTTGAAGTTAAAATGTACAACTTCTGGGTGCTGGAAAGAGTCTTTGCTAAGTAAAGTAGCCCAAGCATTCATAGGTATGAGTCTCTTTTCAAGCTCCTTATGTGTTATTATTTACATTATGTTTAAATATTTTCTGCAGAAGGGAGCATGGTCCTTCTTGTTGTATAGGATTTTATAGTTGAGTAGAAGTGCTGAAAATTCCTGAGATTGTACTGAATCCTGTCAAATGAATAGGTTTTTATTTCTTGGTCTCAATGCTATCCATTTGGGGGCTAAATTAAACAACCTACAACTTCTGCTAGACCAACTATGAAAGTCCAGGAAAGGCCATTTCCATTTCATGTCTTTTCACCATTTTTCTCCCAGACTCATGGGAGATGTTCAGTTGACAGCCATGTTCTTCTTGGGTATATCTTGCCCACGTTAAATTCTGTAACCCTCCTTCTTGCCACTTGTGTAGTTGTCAGTGAAGCCATATTTTTTCCTCTTCACTCCTCCATCCTAGATTAGCTTTGTTTTATGATAGGAATAGAGCTTAAGAACAAGTCTCAGGGCTCGGTGCCTGTGGCTCAAATGCCTAAGGTG